ATTCTATTCTATTCTATTCTATCCTATTTAGAGTTTTCTAACAGGTCAAAAGTCTGATGGCAGTGGGGTAAAAACTTTTACAGAACCTGCTGGACCTGCGGCTGTCATGATCGAAACCCTGATAGCTCATCTAATTGCTCACTTTTCTTACCTGCCGAACCCACCTCTCTCACTAATTATCATTCATCATATCGATCTGCTCCCTCTGCATTATATACTGTTGAGCCCAGCTGTCGGGGGCTGATCATTGATGTATGATGTATGTTTGAGTTAGTGTTTTTAAGTTTGACTTATGCCTTGGTCTAGTTTATGTTCTCGGAGACAAGTGGTTAGAGAGGATTGTAAATGTTACGCCCATTCCCATTTCTATCACTTGGTTGTAGAACACTACAATGAGTTCCCTCCACAGTAAAATATACTCAATGAGGGAAGTGCAAGTGAAGATTTTCTCCCTAAGAAATGGGACACCACTAGTTGTAAAGTTACCTCACAGTAGATGGCAGTAATAAATAGCCTGTACACTTCAGTGATGTGTTCACCTAAGTCATGCATAATCTCAACCTGATTCACAACCTTCTGCATGGACACTCTGCCATACTTAGAACTTTTAACCCAACACATAGATAATATCAAACAACAAATATATTACAAAACGTAAAAAGTCAAGAATAAATAAAGGTATCACAACCATCTCTTAAATAAATAGACAATCATGGTAATATAATTAGCTCTGACAACTTTTTTAAGAAATATCAGTTTCCAAAAAGATACAAGGAATACAAATCAATAATACAGTGCATCCCAAATGGACTCTAAAAATTATTAAAATCATCAGAATTCCAACTGTGATCACCAAATTGTTTCTCAATGGACTATATTTTCTTGGCACCAAATAAAATAACAAACACATACGCAGCACATCTCAACAATCCAAATACCTCCTACCAAGAGGCAAATTCTACTGGAACTGGAAATTTTTAATAGACTAGAACAAATCATGGTCACTACCTCATCAATACCCCATTAACAATAAAATCTGTGAAATTTATTTCATAATTAGTTATAAAATCTATCCTACAAATAATGAAATAGCTAAATATATTAAAAAATAAATCAAAATAGTTCCTTCTGCAATATTGAACCTGAAATAACCCCTCACCTATTCTTCACATGTCCTGTAACCACATCCTTAAAAAATGCATGGTTAATTACAAAAATATATTTACATTTGTGCAGTTCCTTTCAACAGCTGGACAGCATTTTTCCTTTCACTGAATGAGTTTTGGAAAGCCACTTCAACCCCAAATCAGCTTCTGACCTGACTCGGTCTGAAGGGATCATTTCAAGGGTTAGAGGGCACTTCCTCCTAGCTCTTAAAATTATTGAGACTAACTAACCTTACATGTGAACGTGCAAAACCAAGTGCTAGGTTTCAAAACGAGTGTAAATGAGATAAATGGGACTGGGCCTTGGTGTCTTGGTGTGTCGTGGCTCTTGTTGTTCTTTTCCTCCAACTGTGCTGGGTGAAGGTGAAGAGTGGAGGAGATGGCTACTCTACTCTTCACCTGAGCCTAAGAGAATGATGGGGGGAGACTGGAGATGATATGTTCTTTAACCAGCCTTTTGAATCATTTAATCACGATGGAAGTCAGTGCAACAGGCTGGTAGTCATTGAATGAGATGACCTGAGGCTTCTTTGGGACCGGAATGATGGAGGCAGGCTTAAAGCATGCTGGCACTATGGCTTGGTCCAGCGAGGTGTTAAAAATGTCTGTGGGGACACCAGCCAGCTGACTTGCTCACTCCTTGAACACCCGCCCAGGTATGTTATCAGGGCCTGGTGTCTTTCTTAGGTTGACTCTCCTTAGAGTCTTCCACACATTATGTGCGTTAAGGCTCCTCTCCCTGATGTGGAAAGGCTTTCACTGCTGGAGTGCTGTTTAGTGCCTCAAACCTTCCAAAGAGGTTGTTTAGTTCATTTAGGAAGTCAGCATCAGGTACACTTGTCATGATTTTGGCACCTTTGCCTGGGTTTTACAAATTTTTTCTTTCATCTGCTTTGCTCAACCCTGCGCTTATTATCTCTCATAAGATCAACTTGTTCCTTCTGCTGTTTAAGCCACTGGTTCCCAGCCATTGCTGCCAGATTATTCAAGCTTTAAACCAGACTTATCTAGCATTCCTTGTGTTTAGTTCTGCCTGTTCCTGACCTGTTTCTGTCCCCGGACTTCTGAGTTTTCACTGCCCATGTTCTGCTCTGTTTCGCCTGTCCCGTGTTTCTGGACTGTTACCTGGATTCTATATTTTGTTGACCTCGGAC